TGAAAGCACTTCAACTGTTAACTTGATAAACCTTAATACTTTTTCAGCCATAAGATGGTATATATCTTGTGGACACTGAAGGTGTCTTTCTCTTTTTAGTCTATCAAGTATTGGTAACTGTAAACATAGCCTATACTCTGTGGTGAGTTCTTTACGTTTTGTTATAGTTGAGGCCACAGAAAATTCTTTAAATTGATTATTGGTAAGATGATGGTAGCAGGAAACTAATGATAAGTCAATATCTTTAATAATTCATGTAATCCATTTAAATAATGTAATGCATAATTATTCAATAAAGACCGAGGCCAGGCCTCACTTTTAAAATAAATAAAATAAAATAAAATAAGTCAATACCTTCAGACGTCCAGGAATTTTTCACCACATTACATATACAACATCCTCTTATAGCACCATGCCTTTTAACTCCAGTCAAATTATTTCCTTGCGGAAGATTAGTGGTTATAGCACTAAGACTTGCAATAATAAGGCTTCGATTTCCTAGGATATTCATTACTATCCCTTTTTCTAGTTGTTCCATCTCAGTAACAAAGGGTTCAATAAATTTGTTAAAACAACCTCCAAATGGAACGAACCCAAGCACCAAATGATTCTTTAGTAGTTTTCTTTCATTAAAGGGTAAATTTCTGATTTGGATATAAACCCCCTACTGAATGATAGACATTACGGAATGTCCCAAAATCATCATAATAAAGATCAATGTACAATTTATAAATTAGGATATTTACTTCTGGTATCTCTAATGTTGCAAATTCTGATGGATGCTTATAAGAATATGCAACATCTCTTAATTTCCAACGTCCTTGATATTTATAAAGGATTTCACGAATAAAAATTAAAGAAGAATCATTATTGTTGCTTTTGTTGTAAAGTATAATAATATTAGCGATTTTGACAAGATTTTGTAATTCGACAAGTATAGTCGCATTTTTGATTTCTCTATCCAATAACTACAGTTCATTATGCGACCTTTGTTTTCTATTATTACTCTGCAAATTATTTGGCAATTCTTCAAATTTCAAAATATGTTAAACAGTTATTTTGAGCCTGCCATTTGTATTTACTATTGCCAAAATTCGACCTCACTAATTATCTATAAACTATAAACTCTCTATACTTGTATGTTGCTAATTAATGTTGATAAAGTAATTATAATTTTTAGTATATGATTATACTTCTAAATTTTATATTAAAAAAAGTAAAAAAAAAAAAAAAAAATAACATACTTCCATTGTGTTGTATAAATGCATGTTCAAATCAGGAAGATTCTTTCCAAATATTGCGTGCCAAAGTTCCTGATTTCTTTTGACAATCTGACCTGGCCCAAAATACATTTTGTTAAGTAGTGAAGGATTATTAAGGGAGTGCCAAATTATGTCAGTAATAGATAAGTAATACATCTCTTTAGTATTTTTAGATGTAGACAGCGTTTTTTTACTTAAAATGTTAATATTTTGTGTTTTGATTAGAAGTAAAGGTAATCTTTGCCGATACTTTCTAAAGCAATGAATATTTGTTATAATGTCTTCAATTTTAACTGTAGATGATGAATTATATCTACTAATTCATCATATGCTTGAGTATCTATTAAATATATATATAACCAATTTAAATTTTAGAATGATTTTAATGTTCACTAAATATGAAATTCATCAGGTGTGTTGTTTTCAAAAACAGCTTTGGTAATTGTTATTTGGTATACTAAGTAAAAATGTTCAGCACCCTAACCTAAACCCTAAAGTTTAAAATTTGTGGCAAGATCATATATCATAATAATTAAAACACACCATGGCGAATTTTACCTCTGGTAAATACTAAATAAATTCTTAATATTATTAATTTCTAATAATAAAGTATTACATACATATACTGTGTTTTTGAATCCAGCAAAACATCAACGCTTCAGTAGGATTCTTGAAATATTGGGAAAATTCTCCACTAATAGATGGCATTTCTTCAATATTTAGTGCTTGGTTAATAATTCTATCAGATTCTTCACTTAGCATATCATCTGCAGAATTTATTGTCATTTCATCATCATTTAACATTTCGTCATAAAAGAAGTCTTCTAACGTTTCATCAAATGCTTCACTGTCGAATGCTTCATCATCAGGTGCTTCATCTTTGAACATATTATTATCAAGTACTTCGTCATCGAATGCTTCACCGAACAATTCTTCATTTGGTGATACATAATCATTTTCTACATTATTTGGCATCTCGCGAGCATTTATTTTTTCATAATCAATTTCTTCATTAGTATGTTTTTCATTGTCCACATGTATATTATTTGTATTGCGGAGGTGTCTTATATAATTTCGACGTTTTCCATAGAGGCAATAGCGATTGCGAAGCATTGTAAAAATATAAACATTTAAAACAAAAAATATATATATTTATTGTAAAAATATTATCTGGGACTTTAAAATTTAAAGCCCAGAATCTTTAGTATAAATATGATTGATCTTATGATATATTTTAGTCTTTCTTTTTTCATTACTTAAAATAATGAGTTCCAGAAATGCTAAGAAGTGTGCAAATGAAAAAATAAGTACAACTAACTCAAATAAAAGAGGCCGCAAAAAAAAAGAAATAGTTGATCCACCAGATGACCCTTATGATCCTTTAGATAGTGTTTTTATTTCACGTAGTGATATTACAAGTGTTAAAAAAGGTTACAAAAAGCAGCAAGAGATAGTTGCTTCTACGTCTTTAAGCGTCCATAATGATGATAAAGCACAAAATAAAAATAAAAGAGGACGCAAAAAGAAGCAAAAAAAAACTGTACCTCAACCATCACTAATTGTTACTAAACTTTCAGTGATGATGATGCTCTCAATGATTTCAATAATATTTTTAATGATGAAGTTCATAATAATATCGATGCTTTC